TGATACCGGACCACATGCTCAAACAGGATGTCAAAATGAAGAGGCTGATGTAGTTTGTTTCTAAGAAAAGAAAACCCACGCCCATTTGCCTACCTCGGCCAATCAGATCGACATGTTCTCCACAGAGATACACGCGTTTTTCCGAGTGTCCACACCGCGATGGGACTGCAAGAAACACATTTATCGCCGAAGCATGTCTATAATCGTGCGCATAACGTCTTTTCCAAGGACGCTGGAAGCTCTGCGCCTACAACCGCACGTGCGCGACGTCATGCCCCACTGCCAGCTGCCGCGCCAAACTTCGCTCGCGGCTCCGCCCCAGTGCATCGCGAGCCAACTGCATCGCACCGGCTATCTCGTTCAACGAGCCGCGGCCTAAAATCCACCTATTTCCAGGCGGAGGACGTTCCTTCTTCCCCCCTGAAGTCGCGATCCTGATGCGCAGCCCCTGCATTCGCTAATGAGACAGGTACCGTTTGATGGGTAGCAACAACATGCGCGTCCTCTTGTGTCGAGCAGGCTGGAGCCCCTCGTTCGCTGCGATGCTTTTCCCGCGAGCCAGGAAGCTAGCATGCGATGAGACAATTGACATCCATTGACATCTAGACTTCCCGTCTTCCGCTGGTACAGAACCCCCAAGCGCACGCGCATCCCAGTAAAGCCGTGGTACTGTGAGGTCATCGACAGGGATGACGGCCAGCCGCAACCTCATACACTACCATAGCTCACCAGCCCATCCCCGGTCGCTTGGTGTTTTATTTGTTCTTGGGCTTTCAAGAGATTGTGTCGTCCATATGTCTCTTTATGTCGTTTAGGTGTCACTTGGCCAATAACTTCGACGATACTTTCTGCTGCCACTGTACCTCCGAACCCGAATCGCCGTCCCATCCAGACATGTCGCGTCCACAGAGCATGCCTGATTTCGCCGCGCTCATGGAATCTTCCATGTCGCAGGCTGTCTTTGAGTCTTCCAGTTCCAACTTCGAGAAGCGCATACACAGTCATAGTCGACGACAGACATCACCAGAGCGAAAGCCTCAGAATATGAGGAAGAAGCCGAGCATCTCGCTCGCTGCTGGACTGATGATGAACACCGACACCCCACCAGCGACTGGATCACTATCGCCGCGCAAACGAAGCCAGAGCCGGCCGGCCCAGGAGAAGAGGGTTGAGATGGAAGAGGGTGGGAATCTGTTCTACGCCTACGCGCAGAGGGTGAGTGATGCTAATTGCACTGCGTGCAATCGACCGGCGAACAACGGCGTACTGATTTATGCGATAGAGCGATTATCCTGCATCTCCTCCGTACATCCTTACCTTCGCCTCGGCCGCCATTTGCACGCAATGGTGGAACCTGGTCCAGCAGGAATACACGTCGTCGTCGCGACCGAGCCCGCAGTATTTCGTGGTCAGGAGCGAAGACATGGAGCTCATAATGGAAGACCCCAGGTTCTCCGATATCCAGAACAAGTGGTTCTATACGTGCCAGGATAGCCCAACATGCCCGCCGATCGTTCTACCCCTGCAACATGCGAATGGTGTTCCCGCCGTCGCGCCTCCGCACACGTGCGAAGAGAAGGCGAGCACATCGGCTATCGACAGCCTGGCGGCGAGTCTGACCCAGCTGGCAAGCATAGTCGAGAGCAATGCCGAGCAAGTCCACGCGCTATCGGTCGCGCAATCGACAGGTCTACAAGCGATGCAAGAGATCAACGAGTCGAACAGCATCCAGATCAAGGCCATTTCCGAATCCCAAATCAAGCTTCAAGCGCTTGTCGATCAGAACGCGTCACACTACATTGCCCTTTCCAACACATCTTTCCAGTCGCACGAGCAGAGCAGATTATCCCAAGAACAGACACGGAAATCTCAAGAGCAAACGCGCAAGTCTCAGGAGCAGACCAAAGACATACTCAAAACTACCGTCGCTCAACTCCAGACTCTATCCAAGAACCAGATCGAGCTGTCACAGACCTGCCAGGGTATGATGCGCAGTATCGAGACCCTTGGCGACTCTGTCACGCAGTTCACTTCCAATGTCATCTCGGATACAGCGAGCAATCAGTCACTATCCACTAGCTCCTTCAACGCACTCGCGACCCGTATCAGCCCGCCGCCTCGAAAGCTAAACAGGCGGGTCAAAGGCGTTTGGTACGAGTACGACAACGTGGGCTCGGGCTCACCCAGCGGCACCCCCAGGAAGAGGGTAGACTCGATCAATGTGGACACCCCACCGAAGAGCCCGGTTATCTACAAGCACGTTTGACGGTGGTACGGCTGGCTCCGAAGTGTTCGTTTGACACCCCCAACACAAGAGGAGATTGACGAGGAAGCACGAAATGTGACACGACCTTTGCTTAATACTTAATCATCCTGGTGGATATCGTCGCTTAATGACTCCCTCTCTCACGGTGCTGGAAAGCTCCGTCTGGGCCAGCCGTTTGTGATTTGCATTACATTGGCGTTTGGAGCGAAGATTGTATGATATGGGAGTGGGTTCTTGAAGACAGCGAATCAGCTCTCTATTTCGGCGTGTTTGTGTATCTTTTACGAAAAGTATGGGCAGCGCGTCTGGTGCATTTTTGGTGCGCTGATTGTTTGTGTTTACGCGACGTCACCGCTAGTCGTGCCTTCCGCAGTCGGCTCTCAATATTCTAGCCGGCTTCACATTGAATCCGCGTTTTCACCGCTTACTGCTATTGCAATCTCTTGCCGTCCAAAAGTCTCTGCACCTCTGCAAATTTCCCTCGCTTGACGCAACTAGCCTTCCTACACTCTCCAAAACAAAAACACACCACAACCCACGGTACATCACTTCCTTCACGATGAAGCTCCTCAACACCGCTTTGGTAATTGCCTTGGGCATCTGGAACGTCGCCAACGCTGCTGCGGTGCCCACTGCATCTCCCGATGTCGCCACGTCAACCTCCGACGCCGTCGCGAGACAAGATCCACCTGCTCACGGCATGTGCTACCTCTACCTCAACATCGTCGAAAAGAAGCCCCAGAATCCGCAAGATATCGACACTACCGTCTGGGTCGCCCTTTCGGACGGCCAGAACAAGACCATCGAAGGCATGACGTACGTAAACCACTCTCACCATGACCGACTTGCCAGTCATGACAGAAGTACACACATTGACATCATACAGTTGGGACGACGGTGAGCCTCTCAAAGGCATGCTCAACGGAAAGTCGATCGACGGCAAGCCACCGGGCCAAGCACTCAAGATCCACGGTCTCTTCAAACCCACCGACACCTTCAGCCTCAGGTGGATCAACATGACTCCTGGTGCACACTGGGAGTGGTTCAAGTTCCAGTACACTGGCGGTATGGTCGGTACTATCGAATTCGATGATAGCTTCAAGGGCTGGAAGGATGCTTCGTGCAACCGCACTGAGTGGGTCAACCAGGACCGGGACTATTGGGACAGGCTGTCGACCTGCTACTTCCAGTGCTAGGCATCTTCGGGGAGGATACAAGAGGTACTGATGGTTGGTATGCATGGCATCTGGGGTGATGTATAGATCTATCTGCAGACAAGCACTTTCTCTGCACGTGATCTTCACGTTGCTATCTCGCCGAGTTCATGAGTAACACAGAAAGAATTCATCAAATCTCTTCCAATAACTCCAATCTTTCGCAGCTCGTTTTGCCACACCGTGTTCCGATGTACTACGAAGACTGAAACGACGTCCGACGTTCCGCCTCGCCGCCCAATCTGGACACGGAGGATCCACTCCGCCATGTAGTAATATGCGCCCAATCTAAATTGAGTCACGTCCACGCCTTCTAGAATTAACATGGAATAATCCACCAAAAAGCAGCAGGCGATCGCTAAACAAGCATCGTGCTAATCTACGGATTCCGGGTCGAACATTGTTACACTGCAGGACTACATGCAGATGGTACTGAGAAAGGACTTGAACATCATGGTATATAAACCACAACATGGAGCGGCAGAAACACGGTCAACAAGATCAAACACACCCAGCTGCTATCCACTGCAGCTCGCTCAACACCATCATCATGTTCATCTCTGCCATTTCGCTCCTCGGTTTCATCACCTCCGCATCCGCTCACGGCTACCTGAAGTCCATCTCAGTCAATGGCGGAGCCAACTACCTAGCCTGGCAAGTGGGCCAAGACGACTATCTCACTCCCGAACCCGTCCGCTACGCCCGTCGCATCAAAGATAACGGACCTGTTCCTGACTTCACGTCCAAAGACATTACGTGCAATGTGGGAGGTAACCTGCCAGCGAAAGGCGTTATACCGGTTTTGCCGGGGGATAAGGTGTATGTTCTTTCTTTCTCCTGCTCTCCTGCCTAGTATTCTGCTGGATGAAAAGCATCAACACACCATTTCCGACTTCGACACTCACGCTGACATCCACCCAGCAAACTCCAATGGGACCAATGGGGCTCCTCGCACTCGGGCCCCGTAATGAACTACCTCGCCTCCTGCGGCAGCAACTGCACAACCTTCAAAGGCGACACCGGAACCCCCTGGGTCAAATTCGATCAAATGGGCTACGACACCAGCAAATCCCCTCCCTGGGGCTCCGACTACCTCGCCAAGCAAGGCGCCAGCTGGACCGTTACCATACCCGCTGGCCTGAAGCCCGGTGAGTATCTGCTCAGGCATGAGATACTGGGGCTGCATGTTGCGGGGACGAGGATGGGGGCGCAGTTTTATCCGGCGTGTGTGCAGATAAAGGTGGGTGGGGATGGGGGGAAGGGGTTGCCGGGCGGTGTGGGACTGCCGGGGGCGTATGATCCGGATGATAAGGAGGGGGTGCTTGTGCAGCTTTGGCAGGTGCAGGCGGGGCAGAGGGGGTATACGCCGCCCGGGGGACCGGTGAAGACGATCTAGGGGGGGAGTAGAGGGTGGGAGGATAGAACTGTGTGGTGTGCCATGGCTGCGAGGAGAGGAGGTATATATTAGAGAACAGTAACTTTCATGTCGCATTCCAAATTCAGCTCCACCTCTGCTGCTTCTAAGAGCGGGCCGCTAGATCTACAGCCTCACGAACTACTTCTTCGAGTGTCACCTTGGGAAGCCCTAGCTTACCATTCCAGATCTCTTGTTCAGCCTCGAAATCGTACCCAACATCTACATCAGCCCCGAAACTAATTGCCAACAACCGAAATGTCGCGTTCAAATCCCCTGCTTCGAAATTCTCTCGAAACTGCTTGATCTCCGGGCCGCTCTCCTTCTCCTCAACATGGAACTTGGCCTTAGTCTCTACTTCCAGTGCTTCTACAATCTGCCTGGTGCTGACCGAGAAGTCACATAAGAAGATCTGCTTGTTTGCGGTCAACCCGGGATAGACCAAGACACGCGCAACTGCAAGGCCGGTGTTCTTGCTACTCGTAACGGCAAAGCGCCTATTCCCAGAATCGTATACCGTCGCCTGCCTCTCCTTAACATCTATGCCGAGGAAGTTACCAGACTTTGATGGATCGAGTGCCCAGTCCAGCCAACTGCCGCAACAAATGCTGCTCCACGTCATCTTGCCGTGACTTTCTTCGCATGTCTTGATGAGGTACTCCAGCATTTCTCCCTTGAGGTCGTATATCGGTACGAGGGCGCGAGCCCGGGGATCGAGATTGTTGGCGCCGAATTCGCTGGGGATGAATCGTTTGACGCCTGCTGCGAGTGCAGCGTCGATGAGGCGGAATGCTAGACCATCTCTTCCGCCAGCGGTGACTGGGCTGGTAGATAGCGCGACTACGACTGCATCTTGACCCTTGAAGGCTTCTGTGAGCTCTTTTGTCGTGAAGGCGTCCGAGATCTTGATGATGGGGATGTGAGATGGGAACGAGGCTGATGAGGATGCGCGGCTGACGATGGTTACGTTGAAGGAGGGTTCCGCGAGGAGCGCGTCAAGTATGGGTGCACCAACAGAACCGGATGCTCCTAGGATGATGACGTTCTTGATGGGGCTGGACATGATGACACCTTTCGTCGCGACTTGCTTCTCGAGCTGACTGAGATGGAGTTTGGTTGATGATGCGTTGCCCATCAACGAGCGCCTTCTCTTATACTAAACTGTCCATCCACCGCATCAGTGCCCATGGTGCCATGCTCTATAATCGACCTGCGCAACTGGGGACACTTGGGTGCCGCAAAGGCATCTGATGCATCGGCTGCCGCATGGCAATGATGTTCAATGAGTTACCGGCATGTTTCGGCACGCTCTCTGCGCGATGATAGGTTCTGTAGAGCGATTACATGAAGTTAGTAAGCAGCACGTGACTGTGAGAGGCATCTGCGGCAGCATGAAATTCGCAATTCGGCGGTTGCATTTGCCAACGTATACTCATCGTGAGACTGTGTAAGCAACTTAGTTTTCGTTGTAGCGATTTGTTAAGCTACCCAGCTTGATGCCGACTGAGGCGATGTGATGTGTGCCGCCAGCGAAACGAGACAACCCAGTCCAACATTGATAGGATGTCGCCTTGTTGTGGCACAGATCGCCATCTGTAAACCCTCAGAATTTCGGAAACTGCGCATGCGTGCCAATCGAGTATGAATAAGCGTAGTCGCCGACTACACGAAGACCGACGTCTGAGGCGAAAACGCGATGGCGGGTGTGGTGAAGAGGCCACCTGGGCAAGTGCTAGCAGCGCTCCTCGTGACACGCGCTAAGATTGCGCGCCTCCACTTGGCAGCTTGCTCCTGCGTGCTGCATACTCGACCGCCTGCATCATACAGTACAGCACTGCCGATGCTGCCATTTTCCAATCATAGCATGTTGGCTTCACGACGTCGCGCAGGAGGCAAAATCAGCCGCATGACTGATATTTCTACCTCGGCTGCTGCCGCCTGCTTCTGATCCGGCGGTTCTTCTGCGCAGCACACCAAAGCCTTGCGCCACAGTCTCACGAGCAACTGTTACAGGAAAGTTACCATCAGCAACCTACCTTTCACAGAAGGACGCCCATCAGCGCTTGACTCATTAATAACCACTTACTTTGACGAGAACAGTGTGAAAATGAGGATAAAGAGGAAGACACTGATGCACTGGTTGCATTCTGGACACAGTACACCACTTCTCCGCTTTCTACCATGACGGCAACATCCGAACATCTCGAAGCTTTTGCACCTTTGACATGGGCTACACCGTACCTGACATCTCCCAGCTGGATTGCATGTGACCGCCAGCGAGGCACCGAACCGGGTGAGGATACGGACCGATTTTGTCGCGACACAATGCGCGCGAACAACGGCGTGAGAAACTGGCTCGAGCTGTACGAGAAGCCGGCGCCGGGCGCCAAAGTCACCAAGTCAATATCTCTGATCAAGTATGGAACCGGCTTGAACGGCTTTCCCGGTATCTGCCATGGTGGCGCATTATTGACGCTCATGGACGAAGCAATGCTGCATATCCTGGTTGCCAATACTGTGCTTGAGCATGGCCTTGGCTTTATGAAAGTAGGAGAAGACTATTGGAGACTCCAGCTTCATGATGGAAAGTCGGCACAAGAGGTGCTTAAGGGCCGATTAGCCACAGCCACCATGGACGTGAAGCTTCTGGCGCCGGTGTTATGCCCTGGTGTTGTCGGCATTGAAACGATTGTACTTGGGGACACAGGGAACAAAATGCGGATGAAAGCCACGATGAGGGATCGACAGGGCAAGCCGCTGCTTACAGTCGAGGGGCTGTGGATCAAGATTCGCGGTGCTGCAAAACTATAACCACAACCACCGCCAGTGTGCGAAGCAAACCACGACAATCGCACACGCTTCTCAGTTCTCCGTCTCACTCTATATTTCCTATCGCAGGCTCGAGTAACCTGCCACCCAACGTCTATCTCCATCGCACGTGCGCAGGGATTCCGGATGATCTCGCATTGATCTCGGGCACGCTAACCCACCCGAGACCTGTGAGCTATTGGTCCTTCCTGCAACGGTAAACCTCCGAAATCAATGCCTGCAACAATATGTGCACTGCGCAGCATGTAAACACACATGCCATCCCTTTGGCCTACCATTCGTTATGACGTCTAAGGTAGCCTAACCTATCCCGCACCACGCCTGCGAGTCACCATCAAGGTCGTTGTATACTTAAGAGCAAGCCTACATTGATAGAAATTTGATCAGACTGCACGATCAAGTTGTCAAGTCCTCAACACAGTTCAAGATGCATTCCATTCTGGCTTCCGTCTACGCTCTCTCTTCCCTGCTTCCCCTCGCCATTGCCCAAACTTCCGGCACGTTCAACACCCTCACTTTCAATGTCGCTGGTCTTCCTGCTGCCCTGAACGGCAACGATGTTCCCGGTGATAAGACAACAAACACTGCCCGTATTGGAAAGTTGTTCTCTCAATACGATATCGGTGTCATCAACGTTCAAGAGGACTTCAACTACCATGCCACACTATATGCCAACGACGATCACCCATATAGGACGCCTACCAGCGGAGGAGTGCCATTTGGCAGCGGCTTGAACACTTTGAGCAACTATCCTTACACTGGATTTCAGCGAGTCAAGTGGAACACGTGCAGTACTTTCGAGTAAGTCAAGCTCAAACGATGGCACAAACACATTGCATAGTACGACACTAACATAACACTCTGTCAACAGTAGTGCGGACTGCCTCACACCCAAGGGCTTCACTTTCATGCGTGTCAAGATTGCCGAAGGCGCAGTAGTCGACATGTACAACCTACACGCCGATGCCGGGTAAGTCACCCTACTTCCTTCAACCCTATGACAACCCACTAAACCTCCATAGCACCACAGCCGCCGACAACAAGGCCCGCGCAGCCAACCTGCGCCAAGTCTCCGACTACATCAAGGCCAACTCCGTCGGCAACGCCGTCGTCGTCTTCGGCGACTCAAACTCGCGTTACACACGCACCGACGACATCCCCGACGTTTTCAAGACCGAAAACGGCATGACGGATGTCTGGCTCGAGCTCGTCAAGAACGGTGTCCCACCTGCCAAGGGCGCCGACGCGCTTCTCTGCTCGAACCCCTCCACGACCAACGAGTGCGAGATCGTCGACAAGACCTGGTACCGCGGCTCTGACGCTGTAACGCTCAAGGCCACGAAGTTCGACTACGCAGGCCACATGTTCCTCCAGGAGAACGGCGACTTGTTGAGCGACCACAACGGTGTGCTTGTAGACTTTTCTTGGAGCCTGAATGCCCGCCGAAGCGTGTCTGATGTGTTTGGCGGTGAAGAAGGTACGTGGTACAATGACCTGAGCGCCATCTCCAGTCTCGCCAGCCCGAAGGTGTCTTCCATCATGCTCCGTGGCAAGGAGCGCGTTGATGCTGTTTCCGTTAGCTTGACTTCTGGACAGACGCTTTCGCATGGTGGGACTGGTGGCGAGGCGATTACGCTCGCTTTGGCTGCGGACGAGACGCTGACTTCTGCACAGCTGTGTCAGGGTCAGAAGAACGGTAAGACGAGGATCTTTTATGCGCTGGTTACCACTAGTGCTGGCAAGACGGTTTCTACTGGTGTCAAGACGGATGACTGTGTTACGAGGACTGCGGGGGCTGGTCGTGGTATTGTTGGCTTTCTTGGTCGTTCGGGCGATGAGGTTGACCAGTTGGGATTCATCTACTCGAGCGCTTAAGAATGTTTGATGGACGTGGCCCTTGGTTGGATTAATGGAATGTCTCATGCCCCTACGACTCAATGCGATCAACAATAATTGGAAGGTTAAATGCCTGAGTGGCCATAAGTGATCTGCTCTAGTAAGCGGGTAAATGCTGACTTCAAGCACATGTGAACTGTACTCGCGATGTATGTTGTTACATTGAGCTGTTCTCGTATCCTACATAGCCATAAAGCAAATCCGCCTCTCCAAAATAGTGTGTGTCAAAGGAAATAACAAGAAAGAAATCGTACAAGAAAACAGATCATCCTCCTACTGGATTGCCAAGAAAACAAACATAACGTCTTGCAGTCGTAGTCGACCACTCATAAAAGATCAGATGAGGCCAGCTCTGAGATTACACCTTGACAGAGACGTCCTTCTCTAAGCATAAACCCAGTACTGCGCTTCATAATCCACAGTAACCACCTGACCAGGTGTCATACCATCGCAAGTCGCTGGTGCCATTCCACCCACAGTGTTGAGCCGGTACACCATCTTGACACCACTGGTCGACGCTGTTTGCGCTTCGAGCCTAAGCCACTTTACATCCTTAGTCGCATCGGGCGCAGGCGTATCGTCGACTTTCTTAGCCACCGTGTTGCCAAGACCAAGGATGTCGAAGTCGGGAGTAGTAGTGTCGAGGAAGAAGTGCGTGCCGATAGACGCGGATTCTTGGACGCGGCCTAGAGATGCAGTACCAGCAGTAGGGTTGGATGAGATCTCGCAGGAGGCGTTGAAGAGTTGGGCTAGAGCGCCGATTGCGGCTGGTGTGGCTGTCGCGTTACTGCACGTGTAGTTTTGTGTGCCCATGCCGAGCGCGACAAGAACGAGGGACATGTCGGCTGTTGGTGGTGGGAGCGCAGAGGCGGGCTGTTGGATGCCGCTGAGGTCGCAAGATGGTGCTCCAGGTTGCGCGGGCTCTGCGGGCGCGGTAGTGTTGGCGGTATCGTCGCATTCCTGACGAGGATAGATTTGCGGGAGACGCGAAGGCGCGCTCATGGCCATTGGAATGAGCGCAAAGGCCGTGAGAAAGAGTGAGGCGTGCATGTTGACGATTTTCGGTAAAGAGTGCTTTCGATAATCGTAAGACTTTTGTGTATCCTGAAGTTATGGATAAGAAAGAAGGTGTTGTTGGAATTAACGAGTACGCGAACGAATGTAGAGCTACCAGAGCCCGAAGAAACGAATGAAGAATGGAATAAGGAGGCTGAAAGGCTGAAAGCTGGATAATTGCGCGTGCTCTTGTCCTACCTGGATGAAGACGTCAGACGACTTATATAAAGTTCTGTCATCCCTTCGTCGGACCTTCTCAGGTAGCTTCTACATGGATTTAGATTGCAAATGCGGGTGATAACATGTCAAAACGTTTGACATGATCCTTAGGTCGATGTTGGTGTTTCGACAGGATCAAGATACGTTGGTACATGGATTAACGGTTGAAGTGCCGTGGTGTCGGGCGAGAGCGCGGTTTCGCGTAGGCACAACTGTCGCGAGTCAGTGTGGCCAACGGTCTTCTGAAACGAGGCATCCCAGCCTTGCGGTAGAAGAGCGTTGACGACGTTTGCAAAGACAAACAACCCGTGGGTCCTTCGATGTTGGCCAAGCTGCTAAGAGATTTTGAAGATCATAACAGGTCGTCGATATAACCTGCAAAGTTCAATGGCGCGCTGCGAAGTTCGTGATGTAATATTCGTCGTGTACGCCACGATGCGCCGTCGTCGAACCTAAGGCGACAGGAGCCCTAGCTTTCTTAGGAAGGAAGCCACTTCAGAAGAGCCGCAATCTCACCCTGTCTGCGGCGTAGCTACAGGGAAATCTCATCAAGGACAGAAGTTCCATGTGACTAGTAGACAGTGTTGCTGAAACTGGTACCTGGGTACCTGCAGAACCTGCCACAGAACCTGAAACGTGGGGAATGAGCTGACGGCCCGAAATGGGGCAGGAAACATATCGTGTGCAGTTCGTCCGCTATCACCCTGAAACAACCGCGACCGCTACCCAACTACGCCGCAGTCGTTGAGATGTCTCGCGATGCTTTTGCCGCGTGTTGGTCTTCACGTGGGCCGCTCGCCGCCTGCAGGCAGGATGTCATCACCCGTTTCCCCAGACGTCGAACGTAACAGAAACCTTACCTGCGTTGAAGTGAGGAGTCGGTCCGCATTAGTGCAAGGCCAGCAGAAGGCCAGCCTGCACCTCCAGGTTCGAGACCGTGCGGTGGCTTGCCCTAGGTTTCCGAGGTCAGCACTTGTGGCAAAACGCGAGTAGGCAGGAAGCGTGTTCGTCCGTGTTGAATACGGTCGATGTAGAAGACCGAGAGCATCGCTCCGGCGACAGTGTTGTATCTAAGATCACCGGCGCTGCTGGAGATTCGGAGAGTCGCGTCGTGATGATCCGAGTGAGACGGCCATATCGTCGGCCCTGAGTTCACCGAATCGGATCGAGCTAGCGTCGTTGCTCTTTCCGCAGCTCCGCCTCAGCCTACACGTGTGTGCACTACGCAACGCCCTCATGTAGAACCTCTTTAGAAATACGCTGCCTCGGTTCTTTGGGTATGCGATAGTAATCATCCCACGATACACCATGGAACGAAGAGTGAGCCTCAAAGACCTCATTCGTAATGCCGGCGTCATCCCCGTCGAACAGCGCCAAGCAGTCCTCCCGGCCCCAACACAGCCGGCCATCTCAGTCAGCGACGAGGACATCTCGCAAGCCCGAAACATCCTGCTTGAACGGAGAGCCAAAAATCCCGAAAGCAAGAACGTGTTGAAGAGCATCTTCAAAAGCTCAAAAGAGAAGGACAAGGGACAGGATGGGGCACAATTCTCGCAGGAGGAGCTCGACCAAGCCTTGTCCGCTGTCATCCGCAGTCCCACGACTGGACCCGGCCTGATCCAAGCCTTCCTCACTCTGGGCGCGAAAGTGAATATCATCGAGACAATCGACAAGAAGCGAAGATCGAGTAATCAGGCCAACACAGCATTGCGCCGCCGTAGCACGGTCTTGCAGCAGGCCGCAAGCCTGAGGAAAGCCGATGGTGTCAACATCCTCGCCGCCTCTGGTGCGGACCAACAGACCTTGGACGAAGGACTGAAAGCTGCTCTGGCTGCCGGCGATCAAGAAAGTATAGGCCTCTTACTGCGACACGGGGCGGACCTGAACAACTTTCCCAATGCTTTGGCCAATGCAGTCCGATCGAATGACCTGAACTTCGTCAAGCTCTTGTTGCGAGCTCCAAAGCCACTGCGTGCTCAGATCATCAATTCTTGCCTACCTGCAGCGGTCCAGCAAGGCTCAGATGCTGTCATATCTCTGCTAATAGCATACGGCGCTGACCCGAATTTCGACTCCGCAAGTGCTCTCAACATGGCGATTGGAAGACAGGCCTACAAGCTGGCCACCGCTTTGGTCGCTGGCCCGATCCGTCTTAACGAACCGAACCTGCAACATGCGCTCGACACTACCATGAGGCTACCGACGCGGCAGGCAACGCTGCAGTTCCTACAGCTCTTGTTTTGCTGCGGGCTACCTCCCGATAGTCGTGGTCTACCGGACTTCCTCATCTGTCTGGCAAGAAGCAACGATACTGCTGGCGCGAAGATGATGGTCAGCTACGGCGTACCGACCACGGCTGATGATGCAGAGTGTCTGAGAGAGGCCATCGAAAACTCAAACTGGAGCTTAGTGGATGCCATCCTCCAGACGTCCATCGCCCCTCAGCATGCGACATCAGCGCTGGCTGTTTTGCCGACCAACACCCCACAGCCAGATAGACTTCGCGTAGTCGACGCTTTGCTAAAGAAAGGCGCATCAGGTCCGCCTCTTGGTCGATTGCTCACGCAAGCCACAAAGGAGAAAGACACTCAGTTGATCGACCTCCTTCTTGGTGCTGGGGCACCTGTCGATTCAGGCGACAACGGCGCACTTCATTTTGCAGTGGTCAATCGAGATGTCCGGACACTTAAGTCTATTTTCAACGCTCGTCCTCCGCCAGAGACACTAGCGAACGTATTTCCGCTCATTTTCCGTGCTGATGGAATCTCGGCATCGGAACGACGTGAAATCGCACGGCTATTATTAGAGTACGGCGCAAGTGGTCCAGGTGTCGACCAAGCACTAGTCAATGCAATCGCAGACACGTCGGCTGGGCGGGATGGGGCTCTGATAACAGACCTTGTTCGAAAAGGTGCAAACGTCGACGAGAGAGCCTTGTCATTGGCAGTGACTCAAGTCGACATTTCTCTTTTGCGTCTGCTCTGCAACACCAGACCCAACTCCTCAGCGACATCGGCAGCCCTACCTCTCGCCTTTGATTCACGAGCTGGCAGACATTCAAAAACACTCGAGATCATTGACTTGCTTCTGAACCATGGAATTGAAGAAGAGCCAGCTAGTCAGACCTTACAGATTGCCATCAATGGCGGCCCCGACAACATTGATATCATCGAGCGGCTCCTCACTGCCAGCCCTAGACTGCTAAGCACCGCGTTCAAGTACACGACAGCGATTGAAGATCCCCACAAGAAGGCACCGATACTCAATGCTTTACTGAAACTGGGAGTACCACAGGACGCTCTGGACCAAGCCCTTGCCGCGGAGACACGACAGGCCGTTGCCACAAATGACACAACCAGTACCAGGTTGCTGTTGGGACAAGGAGCATCTGTGAGTCACAACGATGGCGAAGCGTTGAGTGTTGCGGTAGCTTCAGGAAACAGCTCGCTAATGGCATTAATACTCAGTGGACGTCACCAACCATCACGATCTAGCGTCACGAGGTCGTTCCGTACATTGTTCACCGACGACAAGTTGATGCAGGAAGGAAAGAAAGAGAGCATTGGTGAAATGGCACAAGAGCTACTGGCCCGTGGAGTAGAACAGTCTGCCATCGACGCAGCTCTGCGACTAGTCCTCAGCAACGAGCATGATAAGTATACGGAGCCCTGGGTTGAGCTGTTGCTTCAGTATCACGCGGATGTCAACACGGCGGATGGGGCATGCTTCGTCTTCGCAGCACAAAAGCACAGTCACACCATCTTTGAGAAGCTCATGCGTCACAACCCCAAGTTCAACGTCGTCGTTCCAGCGTTGTTGAGTTCCAAGCTCCAAGACGAAGTAGTCGTTGCCGCAATACAGTCATGCCTCGATCACGGTTGCATAATTGAACAGCTCGGTGTCGGCTATAACAAGCCACCGATACTCATCACCACCATGACTGTGTACCCACGCAATAGCGCGCTCATCACGCTACTCCTGAAGCACGGCTTGAATCCGGAGATAACCATCCCCACGGTTCTCCATTCGTCCTGCGGACCCGAAACTGTGCCCGCACTGCTTTGGGCATTAGCTCAACCACAGAAGCGCATTTCGGACGCCGTAATCTCCGCCCTTTTGGAAGCTGGAGCATCCGTTGACCGACTTTCTGCCGCTTCGGAGACTACGGCACTTATGCTCGCCGCTCGTGAGGGGCGTCATGAGATAGTGAATGCACTAGTCGTGCGGGGTTCGGATGCGGATCTTCGGGATGTCTGGAACAAATCCGCACTCTTCTACGCTAGCAGCAGTGTGTCTGGGGAAGCCACAGTGAAGTTACTAGCGCCATGCTCGCTAGCAAATGATGGTGCGTTACATGAGTCAGCTAGGGAACTCAACGCCGAGGTCACGAAGGCCTTGTTGGAGCATGCTCACGATCCAAACTACCCATCCCGTCTCCATGGCGGTAGGAATGTCCTCGGAGAGATATGTCTCAACGCGAGAGTCTCCACATCCGCGCATCGCTCGAAGCTTCGCCAGCTACTGCGTCTTCTCTTGACCAAACGCGTAAACCCCAAATTCCGCGCTCGCAACGAGAAGTCTAGTGTCATCCTCGCACTCGACGATGCCTACAGCGCCCTTCCCATCACAGAGGCTCTGCTAGAGACGGAGATATGGCAAGACCTCAACGATGAAGCACACGTCTACTGCGACGCATCCTCGGGCCTCCATTACTCACCCTACTCCTACGTTGAGCTAATCGCTACACCCGCCCGCGCTCCCGTCAAAAAGGCCCTGCTCGATCTCCTGCGCGACAAGGCCTGTCTCCCAGTCTACTATTCCTCGTCGGCACTCCAACCCGTCGGCGCAACAGGCATCCCACCCGCGATTGCCAAACTCGTAGATAAGCAAAAGGAACACGAGCTCTCCATCCGCCACGAGAAGGAGAAGTTCGAGCACACTCGTACGATCGAGGAAACAAGCCACAAAGACATTCTCCGACGAAAGCGCGAGAGCCAAACCGTCGAACTGGAACTACAAACCAAAGCAACCCAACACTACACCGCCCTGGAGCAGCAGAAACACGACTTCGAAGTCCACCGCGTAAGGGAGGCGGAACGCATGAAGCGCTCTGAACGAGTAGCTTGGCATAACTTGGTACAAGAGCAAGAGCGCGATGCCGCTGCTGCACGGGCGAGTGCAGAGGAGAGGAAACTGAGGGAGACTATGGCGGCTGAGAGCAAGATGATTGAGCAGCGGAAACAGGAGTTGGAGCATAGGGCTGGGGTGGAGAGGCGGATGTTGAAGGAGAAGGAGGAGCATTATGAGAGGAATGTTAAGAGGCAGAAGGAGGTTAGACAGATTGAGGGTGGGCCGCCGCAGTGGGGGACTGTGGATTAGTGGTCTTGATGGTGAAGCAGTGGGATGTTATCACGAGTTTCTTTTGGGTTGGCGCAATGGCGTGGGTTGGAGGATCGGTCTACACCGCGCTCGAAAGCATTGAGTTATCATGGCTTGAACTCCACATTGTGATGTGCTCTTTGAATTGTGGTATTTGCAGACTTTCGAGGATTAATCACTTCCGTTGGCGCCTGCCTCCAATGTGTCGTCGTCATTGCGCCTCCTCGGCAACGCACTCGCTTTCACCTCGCTCCTTCCTCATCGAAAAGACTTTCCCACGTGCGCGCTCGCTCACCTCACCAGCACCCCGCCTCTAATTTTAATTCCTTCACAATACCTCAATCTCCTGCCACAACGGCGCCTCTACGACTATGGATCCGCATCAGCAGCACGGGGTACGAATCAAGGAAGAGCATGATGAGCTCGGAATTTGGGTGCCAGTGAAGCAAGAGCGCTTTTCTGAGGAGCGTCTCCCCGCTGTCGTCCCCAAAGTCGAGCCTGTCGATGATGTAAGTACGCCTGCTTCCACGAAAAGCTCGTGATATCAACACAATACTATATCTGATAGCATGCGCTAACCCTACATCATCAGGACGACATGATCTCCACCCAGCGAAAGAACAACAGGAAAGCCAATCGAGTTAGACAGACAACGAAGGATAAAAATCGCATCAAACGTCTCGAGACGGAGCTCAGACAGGCTCACGACGAGTTCTCAGCGCAGCGAATGAAAGACATTGAGAGAAACCTCATCTTTACCCAAGCGGCTATCACCACTCCAAAGAAGCCTGGCACTATCAAGCACCTATTGCTTGAGAATCTTCAACTGCAGAAGAGACTTGAGGAGACGCAGCAAGAGGTCGAAACCACAAAGCGCAACGCTGAAGCGTACAACAATAGCATCGAGCACAAGAAAGACGTGGAAGACAAGGAAGTGATAAGGCAACTATGGGACAATGTTGCAGCTGAACAGGCTCGTAACAGGGAGTTGAATCTTAGCCTACAGAATCAGGGCAAGAAGCTGAGAGAGGAAGGAAGGAAAAGGAGGAAGGCTGAAGAGCGGTTGCGCGAGGCTGCGGATCGATTAGAACTCTTTACCGGTGTCGAGGAATATCCGTCTGAGGCGAGTGAAGAGGAGCTTGAGGAAGGAGAGAAACTCGAGGACGAAGAGATCATGGAACAAGTGTTCATCAAGGATGAAGAGTTCATGGAGGATGAATGATAGCGAGCAACGCAAGACATATGCGAAAAGCTGCACAATAAGGCGAAGCTCTTATACAGAAGTTATCATGGCTTGAACTTTGCATTCAGCTATACTCTCCTAATCACCTGCGATGTGTCCAATCGTTTTCGCACTTTCTTGGCAGCGCACTCACCTTCACTTCGCTCCTTCCCCGTTCGTGAACTTCGCCACGTGCACGCTTGCTATCCTTGGAACCTCACAACACCCCGCTTCTCTAATCTGAACTTCTCCACACCACTTCAGCTCTAACCCACAACGGCGACCTGGCTGTCATGGATCGGTATCAGCAGTATGCAACGCGCGTCAAGTCAGAAGATGATGAGCTCGGTATATGGGTGCCCGTGAATCAAGAGCCAGCAGAGATCGTGCCTGCCGTTGTTCCCAAACTCGAGCCGACCGATAAGGTAAGTGCATCCCAATCCATGATAACCTCACAAGCCATTGAACTACGGTATCATGCAGCATGTACTAATCACAACAACTCCAGGAACTGCTCGCTTCGTTGAAGAAACAAAGGAAGAAAGCGAGGAAGGAACAAAAGAACGAACAGGCTTCCAAAGGACAACGTCGCGGCAACGATCAGGTCGATCTCAAGAAGCAAAACGCCCGCCTCCGCAAAGAACTCGCAGACGCCCGCTCAACGAGACCTCATGGCGCGCAAAGCCATCGTATATTTGACCTCGAAGAGAAATTCTTCCGAGCCTGCAAAGAGCGCGATGAAGCTGTCGCACAGAGAAACGTGACTGCCACACAGCGACAGGAACAAGTCTTGACCAGAACGATAAGCGACATTAAGATACAGAACTCTCGACTCCGCCAAGATCTCTCTGGTGCTCAGAAGAAGATAGCGAGCCTTACAGCGGGCGAGCGAGCGAGCTACCCGGACAATCAGGACTCGCCGCCTCATCAAGAATCCGAGCCGACTGTCAACATCAAGGGAGCGAGCACCATAACAGCATTGAGAGCAGAGATATCTGAGCTGGAGAAGCAATTGAAGGATGCGCTTCGCAATGCTGAGAACGCCGAGAGAGATGCTCGAGCATTCAAGAAGAACAACGTCGATGCCGAAGCTCTGGACAAACAACTTGCAGTGGAGAGGGCCAAGAACAGAGCACTTGTGAGCAAGCTGCAGAAAGCTCTTAAGAAAGAGCAGGACAAGAGTGAAGAAGCGCACACTGGCTCCCGCGAGGTCAATGACATGGAGATTGGCATGGCAGGCTGGCCCGGTAGTCGTGGTCTACCGACTAGGCAGCAAGTCAAGGTTGAAGATGAGGATATGGAGTTGGAGGACGGAGAATAGCATGGAGAGTGTGGGGAACGACAAGGAAAGCCTATGTATCTGTCGATGATACTCATTGCGAAGCTTGGAGAAGGACTACGAGGGTGCACGTGCGATCAAAGAACAACCATCGCGAGAGAGAGATATGCGGACTCAGAATGTATTGTGATAGTCGATGTGAGATGGTGACAAGACACGTCGTAGGCAGAGATACGAGTAACAGCGATGATATAGCATGCTGATAATCATGATACATCTGACAAAACATCGTATGTGACTTCATCCCCTTCCCCTCTCATATGCAATGACACACTTCCGAATTGAGAAGCAAGATAACCTTAATTCAATCTCCAACAACACCGGGTATAAACCACACCTCCCTTTTCCATCCCTATATATCCACATAACATTCATACACAACCCCAACCAACCAACCCCATCACTGAACCTCAAAAACCCCACTAACCCCCTCAAACTCCTCAACAGCTCCCCCAACTTTCTTAGCATCCCCATAATACCTAATCCGATACCTCCCCTTCTCCGTCCCCAGAACCGGCGTATCCCAACTAATCGTCACATCACTCGTGCCCGTAAGCCCATTCACCCTCTTCCACTGATACACGACCTCCCAATCCTCGTCGTTCTTAACCTGCGTCCACGTCCCACCACCATCACCATCACTGCTCTGTTTCTCTATAGCCGCAAACGTGCCTTCAAGACGGAGGTTGTTACGCGGATTCGCGCCGACGAAGGTCGCGGAGACGGTGGCGCCGCGGGCGTATGTGGGCAGGACGTCTTTTGTGACTTGGCCGAAGGAGCGGCCGAAGCCGGCACCGTCGTAGACGACGCCGGTGATGAGGGAGATGGATTTGTCGCGGTTGTCTGGGGGAGAGGGGCCGGGCGGAGGGGGTTGGAGGGAGGAGTCGGATAGGTAGGGGAGGTAGGACAGGGTGGCGTTGATGTAGGCGTTTAGGGTGTGGGGGCCGTAGAGGGTGGAAGCGCCTTCGTAGCGTTGGATGCTGTATTCTTCTTCTGTGGCGATGTAGTGCGTGTAGCTGTTTGCTGGGCCGCCTAGTACGACGATGGGCGAGGTGGCGATGTTGGTGGATACGATGGCGTTGTGGACGGCTTCGCGCCAGCGGCGGCCGGACATGGTTGTTGCCTCGCCTGGGGACACGATGATGACGAGTTGGCCGACACGCAGGACTTGGATGTCGACGATGTTTGGGGACCAGGGGTATGGGACGTTGGCTTGTCCGACGTTCAGTAAGACGGGCTTGGGGTACTGACACTCCTTTTGCTCTTTGCTTGGTGGTGCGATGGCGCTGCCGACGAGGTTCCAGAAGGGATTCGAGGGCGCGCCGGGGTCGTTTTGGACAAAGTCAAAGGCGCCGGGGCCGTCGGATGTGCCGGCTGCGAAGGAGTTGCCCATGGCTGCGGGACATGTGTGGACGACGGATCCATTGCTAAGGGTGAAAGTAAAGTTGGAGAAGTCGACATAGGTGTGGAACGAGCGGACCTTGCCAGAGATGGGGGTGACGGCATTGAAGTCGTAGATGCTCCTGGCACCCTCGGCCTGACGCCTGCCAATCTCGTAGCAGGACTTGTGGCCTCCGTCGTCCAGGCCGAAGAACGGTCCACGACCGTGGCAGTCCTGGCTCTTTCCTCCGCAGGTGCTGTCGTTGAGTCGGCACTGCTGGCCTGACCCGTCTTCACAGTACGCACCGAGCACATTGGGCGTCGTGTCACCGACGTTGGCTTGCGAGAAGCCTGCCACAAAGCCCTCGGCAGCATTTGAGTCGGCCGCATTGGCCTCCATATCCTTCTCCAGCAAGTACGCGGCCACACCCTTGTTGTCTCCAGCAATGAGCGTCTGGTTTCCCAGCATACTGGTGCCATGGACAGGGAACCAATTCAGAATTCCAATGCTCTTTCCATCACTGGCTCTCGTGAACTTCAGAAGTGTCATGGTCTTGTCCACATTGTCTGTATAGCGATCGCGTTCTGCTTGGGGGTTGGCGAGGTAGGCGAACAGACTGCGGTTGATGTTCGCATCAGCAATCTTCGCACTGCCAGCACTGACAGTTCCCAGGGTAAGTCCTTCATGCGCCCTCTTGATAGACAGAAGCGTTCCATCCACGATCGCACGATAGCTCTGCTTGTCGAAGCCCTGACTTGTGATCTGCGGAAGGAGGTAGTTCAACCAGGCGCCCGGTCCGGCATGGCTGTGCGTGCCAGTCACGGCGACATTGTTCTTCCCGTATACAGCGTACTCAGACCCCATGGCCTGAAGCCCTTCCAAGATGCCATTTCGGATGGCAGTGTCTCCGGACTGGGTGTCGAGAACGAGGTACACGAAGCGTTCGCTGGCTTCGTCCGGGTTGCCGACGATGAAGGCGCGGGAGTAGAGGCGTTGGCGGAGTCCAGATCCGATTTGCGACGAGTTGGCGTAGCCCATCATGTTGAGCTCGACGACGGGACTGTGGCAACGTTAGTACATTCACACACAGTATATTCTCGCCACCTACCCAGTAATATCCGCCTTGCCAACGCCGATAAGGTACGAAGAAGCATCGCCAGCCTGACCTCCATCCTGCTTCTCGCTATTAAAGACATCCTGCTGGGCTCCAGTGTACGTCTGATCGAGGCGCGCATGCCAGAAGTCGACGACGGGGAATCCGAGGTTGATAACGAGCTGGGCGATGATCAACGAGGCAACAAGGGCCGCACCCAGTGCGACTGCGATGTGTGAGCGCGCCATGGACGCGAAGAGATGTCTGGGCGGAAGTGTGCGGAAAGAAGCTGGAAGCCGTTGGACGGGGCGCGGCGAGCTTCTTGTACGCTACTGCTGGCACCGGAAGCTACGCGTGCCAGACGTGTAGGCGTAGAGGGTTGCACATGGGCGTACAGTCGATTAGCAGGGAAGATAGATAGACAGGGAGACAAAGTATCGCCTCTGGCCACACAGCAGCGCGAAGCTTGACAGTCGCGCCTGGCACCTGCATTGCATGACGTTGCGGGGTTCCTCGCCGTCTGGTTGGCGGGGAGCCCGGACGCGATCAGTGCCTAAATCTACCCGTGCAGGCCTGCTTCTCTAGTTTCGCGACACCCTTCCACTTCACCTGCGCATCCAATACACCATCTGCCATCTACCTCGCCCTTATCCCGGCCCGCTGCACGTCGCTTGCCCGCCATGCCCCTCATCCAGGAATCCTACGACCATCTCCCTTGTACGTCCAATTTGCTCCTGCCCCAACACAGCAACCATGTCCGATGCGCCCAGTCACGCGCGACACTTGGACTGATACCCCCGTTATTGCCTCGCTAACTGCATATAGATGTCGATACGGAGCTCTCAGCTGCGAGCCTGGTCGCAGCCAGACACGCCATCAACGCCGATATCAGAGCCGCGGGCGTAGACACAACAGACATGCATCCGGCGCTTATACCAGCAGCCACGAAATACACACCCACCTTTTCCGACTTCATCACGCGCGAGCACGCGCGGCTCGACGACCACCCTACGTCGAAGCTGTCTGGCGTCGATTTGAAGCGCTATGAGGATCTCGATGCGCCCGAGAGCACGACCCCGACGAGCGACGAGGAGAGGCCGGAGCTGCTGGAGCGGTGGAATAAAGCGCTCAAGCAGGCGTATACGAGCTCGGAGTATGTGCAGGGCAGGCTGACGCAGTTGGGGCTGTTGGAGAAATTCGGGAAGAATGCTTGGTTGGTGGGCAACTCGCAGCTGGAGGATATACTCAAGGGCGTCGAGGCCGAGCTGGTGGATTTGGGCAAGCAGCAGGAAGAGGTGGAGATGGCGAGGAGGTCGCAGCAAGATAGTGCGGGTGCTGAGCTCAAGACGCTCGAGGAGACGTGGAAGAAGGGAGTAGGAAGGGTTTTGGAGACAGAAGTCGCGGCTGAAGGGTTGAAGCTGCAGATTTTGGACAAGCGGAGGGCAGGCGCAGTTTGAAAATTTCATCACCATTGAGTGAAGAGCATAGTTGCATGATACCCAATACACACCATTACATAGAACATCACACTGACATACCATGATACATCACTCATAGTTCAGTCTTCAGATTGAATACGCAATTCAGTGATCATTACTAGGAACTATATAGCTAAAGTAGCAGGGGTACTCATTTATAGAATTGAAAACACACGCCTCATTCGCCATCGCTGCTCTGCCTCATCCGCAAAAACAAGCCAAGGAAAAACATTTCCATCCCTTTTTGGGTATCGAACTCCATCGTCATTAGCTGAAATGAAAGAAGACCATCCACTAGTAAACAATACGCTCGTCAAAGACGGGTGCCTCGCGCGAGTGGCCGTCCTCGACACCCTTCCAGTACACCTTGCCCTTCTCGTTGAAGGTAGCCTGCTCGTCCGTGATGACGAGTCCGGGGACGGTCTTCTGCGTGTCCCTAATCTCGCGTGTGCTGATGCCCATGTCGTCCTTGACGATCCAGATTACGGGTGTGGGGCTGGTGACGGAGGGGTTGAAGAAGGCGCGCTTTTGGATCTCCATGGGCAGCGGCTCTTGCGGGTGGTGGTAGAACTGGTCGAGGGACGCGGAGAGGTTGTGGATCGAGTTCTTCTCGGGGTTGAACATCTTGGCTAGGAAGCCGGGCATGCGAGTGGCCTTGGGGGCGTAGCTGGGGGTGGCATCGGTGGTGTGGACCTTCTCGCCGTTCTGAGTGTGCATGCCGTCCTCGTGGTGGCCGTTGGTGACGCTGCCGTGGGCAGGGGATGGGTCGGTGTAGGCGAGGCGAGCTTCCTCGTGCTTCAGGGCGAATTTCAGAGTGAACTGGAAGACGAGGGTGAGGAAGAGGAGCAGGCACATGATGGCCAAGGGACCGACAGCCTGGATGTTTTTGGCCGTGGCAATGGCGAACAGACCAATCAGGCAGATTTCAGACAGGTAGATACCGGTCATAAGCTGGCGCAGGGCCTTCTGGTAGGCTTCGCCCTTGGTGTCCAGGTTGGTCTCGTACACGTAAAGGAAGTTGTACCTGAAG